AACATTTTAAAAGATGCAGATGAAACACTTGAGAAAGCTGGAAAGAGAAAGAAGTCTATTAAAAAACCTACTAACTTTTTTTTTTATGGACAGTTTTGATTAAGCAAGAACTAATTTTGATTAAACAAAAGATTCTAGTTTTCTTGAAAAGTTTCAGTCGCCACCTCAGAAACCCCAAAGCTAGAGAGATGCTCAGATCCTCTGCAAAAATCAATTATCAACTCCTTCACCTTTGTCTGTACACAGAATGCAGGGAGCACAGAGACATCTGACACTCATTGCTCTTACATGATCAACAAATAAAACACTGTCCCTATGGTGATTTTTAAAAGTAGTAATTTTAGAAGGGGAGAGAGAGGAGTGGAATACATTATTGCTGTCAGTTTTTTTTCAGTGGTCATTGGTTTGTGTAAAGGTCTGGCATATACGAGCATGTGGAGAGGTGCTTCAGTGTAATTTTGCTTATGGCTGTTATTGCCATATCCAGATACCTATACAGTCTCCCAGTTACACAGTATCCATTCTTCAACTGTCCCATATCTGAACCGTAACTTGAACAAAGGCTTCACTTTACACCCTGCAGTTTTGAAAGCTGTAGATTAAAAATATAGAGCAAGAATAATATTCCACAGCAGTAGAAGAGTTAGCAGTAAACACGCAAACTTTTGATCTTTTCCTATTAGAAACCAGGTTACAAAGGAGCTCTGTAGCACAAACCTGTTGCTATTCCTGAGGAAATAGGAGGAAAAAAAAAAAAGCAGCAGCATCTTCAAGATGTTATCCTCTCTGTTGAGACACACAATCTACTCAAGCAGGAAACACACACAGATAGAGGCGGACAATCAGCTCGAGATATAATGATGACAAGGTGCTGACATTTCAGATTTTCTCTTTGAAGCACAGGTGCTGGCTGAGTACACAGAACACACCAGTGAGCAGGAAGGAGCTTTTCAGAACTCATTGCCTTGAATCACAGAACTACGACAGCACTGCAAAAGACAGACTGCAAGCTGGTACATAACCCGGTGCCAACGATAAGTGACACAGACCAGGAAAAATAATAATAATAATAAAAAAAAAAAACAAACACCCTTCTCATAACACACTTCAGAGCATTTTACGTGAGGGGAGGGGAGGCATTCCTTATCACCATAGCAAAAAAGACTGCAACAAACTTTCCATGAGGAAAGGACCACCCGGCCAGAACACAATCCAGAGGGAAAACCTGTCCAGCACACATGGTTTCCGGCATGACAAAACATTAGAAGTGCCTCTTGGGTCATCCAAGACTATGCTATCGCTTGCACCCATAGCATATTTCTCCTTTCGTAAGTGGTGAACTGTCCCTATTACACAACAAAGCAATTTTTTTGGTGTTTGCTCTATACTGCTGTTTTATTAAAGTAAGGAAATGGGATTGACTATTCTGCAGCTTTCAGTGATCTCTCCTCTTACAAGAGTGGGAGGCATCGTTACAGCCACAATAATAAACCCCCTCTTTGTGGCTTCATTGACCAGTCCCTTCTCAGACCTATTTGGAGCAGGGGGAGAGGACAGGGAAAATGTCACTGTGAGGGAAAAAAAATAAGAAGAGGCTGCTACCTAGGTGAAACACTTCACTGCTCTGCCTGGTTTTCTGCTAGTCCTGCTTTCCTAGTGGTTTCACTAGATTGGCAGGAAAACAAGCCCAAGCCTGCAAAGAAAAAACATCGTCATAGGGGCACAGTTGAAGGACAAATGCAGCTTGCTCACCTCGGATTTGGGGGACAGAACCTTTATGGGCTTCTCATAAGCACAAGAGGAGAGTTCAGCCACTTGCTTATGTCACTGCTGTGATGGCGCCATGGGTGGGCAGGAAGGTAGCAGTGGTGGTGGACGAGCAGCAGCTGGCCTTTGCCATGCTGGCGACACAGTACCACACGGGGAGTTCACACTGCAGTCCTGGGAGCCTGCTCCCATGCAGCGTCAAGAGTCCTCGGTTCTCATGCTCAGTCGGACCAGATTCCTCCTCCTCTTTTGTTTCTCCTTTTCCTTTGATACGCCTTCTCTTCACTTTCACTGCTCCATACAACAATGTTAGAGATGTGTGCCATTTCCCCTGTGCACACAGACACACAAGGACATCCCTTTTTTTCATCTTGGTACGTATCTGCCTCATCCCCATCTCCAACACTGAACCAGTATCTGTAAACATCTCCCATGGTCAGACCACAAAATACTGACGAACACAAATCAGCCTTTAATCTCACCACTTTCTTACAGAGTTGGAGCACTCTCCACTATTTTGAGCAAGGGTGTCTGCATTTGCATATATGTATATGACCACAAATATACATACAGGCCTCAAACTTCTCTTGAATGCAGCCAACATGCAAATGTGGCATGAGGACCTCCCAGTGTGAAGGGCCTGTACCACACACTCTGGATCTGTCTCGCTATCTGTTAGTGCGCTCAGTTATCTCTCTTTTATAAAATTACTCCATCCTCAGCGTCTACTCTGCCCTCCTCCAACGCCATTTAGTGCACCCCAGACAACGGAGATGGTGAGCCCTCTTTCTGCATGAAATCTGCTTCTCATTGAAATCCATTCTGATGAAGACATCTTTACAGCAAGAGTGAAGGCAAAAAAAAAAAATCCCCAAACCCTGAAAGGTGACCCTCATTTTAGGTAAATGCTCCAAATCGAGGATCAATTAAAGCCTGTTTTCTTCATTTCAGAGCAGAGAAAGCCAGCAGCATTTATCTGAGACACAGACAAAAGCAGGAAATCTTGGTTTTGCTGACACTTAAAATGATCAAGAAAGGACTGGCAGCACCTCTAACATTCTATTTCCTTTCCATGACAATCATTCTTTTGGAAGCAAGAATGTTAACGTTTAAAAACTGAGATTTACATTTCAGAAAAATAGGTGCTGATACAAGAGGAGAGATTAAGCACACAGGATCCCCACTGCTCAGATTAAAATCACAAGATAGGATTATTCTGCCAACTCCTGAAAAAAGAAAAAAAAAAAACAACACAACACCACCCCCAAACTGTACTAGATAAAATAACCAGCAGTGTTTCCTCTCAAAGTGCAGAATAGCACCTTCCAGTCCTTTTGACCCAAGCTGAGGCTTGCATGCCCTAGTATTTCTGACAAATGAGGAACCAGACAAGCAGAGCAGTTAGGCCTTATCTACCTAAGTCAGTGATAACTAACGACTCTGAAAAAGCAGCATATCAGTACATATCAGCCGCACGGATTTTCATTTACTCTCAGCTACTGCACAAAAGTAGCACATTCCCCTCTCAGGATTAGAACTGGCCCAGATGTCGTAGAGAGGGAAAGAAGCTGTCTTAGGAGGAAGGTGAAAAATTACTCAAGAGCAAGAGAAAGAGGATTATCTTGAACTACTGCTGCTTTTTCAGTGATCCTGGTTTTCATCATCAGCCTTGTTTCATTTCGTAGAGACTCCAGTGATGATAATCAAAGGAGAAGTAGGTTGATCCCTATCACACACATGATAAAAAAAATAAAGAAATGATACTAGCACATATCTCTGATCTCCAGGGAACTAGTGACTAGGGCTGTTGCTGACCCAGCAAAGACAGCCTGGGTAGAAGTACCTACTGAAAAAAAAAACCCCAAAAAAAACCCAGCACAAAAAATAAAAACACAGCTGTGGACTAAAAATGCCTATTTCTGTGTCATTCTCATCAGCAGGATCTCACAGAATCCTTGCCATCACAGATTATTCAGGATTTATTTCTTCTAAGACATATTTCTTCTATTATGCATGGAATATGGAAACAAGGGAAGTTAAGGCCTCAGAATTAAACAATTTAGTCTTGGAACATTGTTTTCTAGCTAAGACATGCCACTCAGTCTGGCTAGAGTTGCAGTGATTTAGAAGAAATATGTGCAGCAGCTGTGAACTAATTAGAAAATATGGGGTGTTGCACACCCCCAAAGATGAGCAGGAGAAAATTTAAAGTTAGCAGAAGCCCAAGAATTTAATTTAAAAAAAATATCTAAGCAAACATCTTTGTTTCTGGTAACATGTCCCTGAAAACAGAATGATCTAGACATTGGCTTTTCTTTCCCCAAGTAAACTTCATTTCAGACCATTCTGTCACCATCCCATCAGATTAATGCAACGCTGAAAATTTCTGAGCTGCTTTTTTTTTATTATTTAATTTAAACAATAGGTTCGGGTCAAGATGGGAAAAGAGCAGCACCTTTTAAAAAAACCCTGTTGTGTGCTATATAGGATAAATAAGGGAGCTTTAAAAAAAGGTTTTATATGTACATATACACACATACACAAAACCAAATTAAAACCAAAAGACTTGTGAAGGGTCATTTTCAACACAAGAGAGAGGAAAGCCTTATTTCACAGCAAGCAAAAGCACCACAAGTTAAGATTAGAGTGCCCCATCACGTGTAGTGCAGATACAAAACTAGCCTGTGTCCTGGAAGCAGTGTAGCTACAACAGCACAAAGCTCCACGTGGGCCAACTTATCCTACTCCTCGGCAAACATGACAGCAGAGGCTGCTTTGGGATGGGGTACTGTGCAGGCACTCCCACAGCCGGCTGCTCTGCCTACATCAGTTTTGGCAGAGGCCACAAAAAGTAGCAAACCAATGAGAATAAGAGACCCAAAGCAAAGCTACAGGACTGATTTAGCTACAGTATTTCCGTAACAGAGGTTTTGGAGTTCCCCCATGTCTCTCGGGTGCTCTCTGTAGGTACTGCCTGCTTGGGCCACACAGCAGGCAGCTCCTGATTATTTATTATTTGTGCGCTGCGGTTCCCACTCTTGCCTACCTGCATCTTTTCTTTTCCTATCTCTCTTCTATCCCACAACACCATTCCTATTTCTGCCAGGCTGACAGGGTAATAAAATTAGGAAGGGGCATGTACACCTAACCAAAGGGATATTTGACAACCAAATGAAGCTTAAAAATAATAATAATTCTTAAAAATAAATGAATTTAAAAAGGTGTTCAAGTTCTGCAGACTTCTGGCAACATTTGGTCATTTAGCCCAGAGGTCTTTGTCTTCAGGGCCCACAGGCTAAATTGTCTCAACTGGCAAGAAGCATGCAGTACAAGGTAAAATTCTGACTAAAATTAAAATGTAGTAAGGGTTGGGGGAGAAGAGGCTATAACGTGGAAACCCAATAGTTCGGTAGCAGCACTTATGCTACACGGTACGCTTTCAAGAGAGTGAATTCCTTTCTGTTGGTGCGAGCCGCCCAGATGAAAAGAGCAGCTGCCATAAACTGCAAAGGTGCCGAGACACAGGCCAGGCAGAAGGACCAGCCGAATTCACCCCTCACATCTTCAGGCAGGGGCAGCTTCTTATGGAGCAGCTCAATCCCAGCTACGTAGCAGCCAACCAGGCCCAGCGTACAAAGCCCTGAGGAAGGAAGCAGTAAAGTGCAATGAGCTTGCTGTTGGAAGTGTTCTGGCTGTCACCACGAGCTTCAGGAGGAGGGAGGGTAAGTTGGTGGATGGCAGGAGACCTACCTGCTAGGAAATGGAGGACTCCGGTGGCAATGGCAGGATAAAGGCTGCGACAGGCACAAGCACAGAGCCCAATCAAAGCCCCAAAGCACATGAGGCCAAGGCTGACAAAGGGCAGGAGAAACTGCAATCGCCAGAGATCTGCACGCAAAAAACATACAAGTTTATTGAAAATGTACTAGAAACTGATCTTCTGCTACTATCTTATATTCCCTTCTACCCACACTACTTCTGCTTCATCGGATACCGTACATTAACAACTAAAAAAGGAACAAAGGCCCCACTAAAGTAGGAAGAACTTTATTAACTCCCAAATGCCTGTACTGCATTCATGGGTAAAACCTTTGCTAAGGCACTTAAGTTTTCCTTTTAAACTTTGACCTACTGCCTATGCTACTGTGAAGACCGAAAAAAAAAAAAAAATAAACCAGAGCAAGACACAGATGCTTCCCTCACCAGTGACTGTACTTGAGAAACATCTTTTTTTTTCATCCTACTTGTTTACCTGCCAGAAGAGAAAGACACTTACAAGTTCGATTCAAATCCGTGCCGCTATTGTGATTTCCAGGCTCTATGTACTTTTCCATAAACTGATCAGAGAGGGAAAAACTGATGCAGTTTGTAGTCATACCAGTTTCTGGAGGAAAAAGAGAAAAAACTACCATTAGGCATCTCCCTCCCATCTCCTCCCTTCAATTCCTCCTTTCCCAACCATTTAAACTGGGAAGCTCCTCAGAGAAAAAAAATTTAGAGAAAACACATTTCAGAGAAAAAAAAACTACCTCTCAAGACAGATCTGTAGGATGCTTTATCATAATGTAGTTAGTATAATGTAGTTACTACAATGAGTGATAGCATTCAAACATGTAGAATCTTCAACCTTACCAGGGTTATCCACAGAGAACTGGCCCGTGCATGACAGACTGGGAAAGAAAAGTGGCATATGATGTTCAGCTATATTGTTAGGTATTCTTGTACCAGAGTTGCTAAACTGACCCGTGCTTATCTCCATGTGCAAAATATAGTATCATACCAAACACTTCATTCAAAAATGGGATAAACGGGACTAAAAATGGGATAGAAAGGACTAAAAATATTTGCTTCTCTACATTAAATTTCTCCCCTTTTATGCCTCAGTTAGATTTTGCTTTGAGAATACTATTGAGCAGAGCTGGTTTAAGTGTCTTCCAAAATAAGTATTTTAATTAGAGGAAAAAACATTTATGTAATGCTTTCTCCCCAGAAAAAGTGTTTGAAAGTACACTTTTTTAAGAAGGTTCAAAATGAAGGGCTTCACACACACAGTATGTGTCTGAAATCTACTTTGAAGCAATTGAAATAATTGCTCACCACACTTTATCCCCCAACCATTGTGAAAAAGAATACAAATATTTCATTCTACATTCAACATTACGGTACAAGGAGTCCAAAATGTGCTGACGTGACAGTGGGACATTTGTGATATGCAAGCAAGATGAACGACTAGCTAAAAGGAGCAAGTGCCCCCTTGAAAAAATAGTATCTTTATTCCATTGCTGGATCCCAGGACCTCTCCTAAAAAGACAGTGACTGGCAGAGCAACTATAACTGTATCCCCAGTTGGACAGCAGATACAAAAGAAAACCAAGTTATACCCGACTAAATTTAGATCAAGGATCATGTGTCAAATCCAGAGTCTGTAGCACTGACAGCCAAAGATCATATTGGCTTTTCACTTCTTTAAAAATTTAGATTGTCTTTACTAAAAAACCAACAACACATAAGCTAGAAATAAGCCTTCTGGAGGAACAAAGTGGCATGAATACATTGTGAGGAAGTTCGCACATACCACCCCAGGCAAGCGAGGGAAGTGTTAATTGCTCTGAAGATACCTGGTGAGTTGTACCAGTGAAAGTTTTTGGGTACAGTGATACACCTCCGCCACAGTCCAACTGTGCCATTGCACCGGAAAAGCGCATCTGTGTAGGTCTTCTCATCTGCCTCTTCACTGACGAATTCGTCCAGGATGCTCCTACCAGCTTCACTAACGTTCTCAGCTGGGGACAGGGTGTGGTATTCGTACCAAAAGTCAGTGCCAATGGAAGCTGCCATATAGATGGTGGAGATGAGGCTGAGAACACAAGCGATTACTAGCGCTGTAGCAAAACGGTTATCCATCATTGTGCCCTTGCTGCTGTAAGGGAAGAGAAGGCCAAGTGAGTAACTCCTCTGACAGTAAATGCAAAGTTATCCCAGCAGTGTCAAACTCATGACATCATTCTTTTTACGCAACGTCCTCTCAGGATATGCATGTCTCCCTTTTCCAACATGCTGGAATCAAAGGAACAACTAAGCAAGTCTACAGTATTCACAAATTCAAGGCATGGATATCGCCCTTCTCCCAGCCACACTGCGCTAGCTGCTCTCTCTGAGACAGCAACTGACGGAGCAACAGCAACTCTGTCCCCAAAGCAGATGGCACAGCTCACTGCCATTTGTGATCCTGATTGTAGGGAACCACAGAGAATCCATTCACAGCACCCAGGCAGAAGACTTATCTTTCCTTAAGAGATTACCAAGGGTAGAAGTTATTTTTAGCCTGCCATCCCATAAGGCTTTCACAGCTTGTGTTTACAGCAAAGATAAGAACCAAAAGCGTGCCAAAAAAGCTCTTCCAGACTGTTCACAAAGGGCAGCCATGCCAAGACGCTGAAATGCCTTTAGGGAAGCAAAGGAACGTATCTATGCGTTAAGAGACAGAACACAAAGGAAGTACTGAAAGACAAATTTGGTAATTATGTTAAATGTTGCAATAACACCACAATACATACAGTGGTGTTTCTGAAGAACTAAAACAATGCAGGGGGAGTGCCCTGTTCCATGGGAACAGGATGACAAGAGCTTCCAAAACTGAAAGGCCTTCCTGCGCTGGCATGAGGACCTTGCTCTGGCTCGTTCTATTAGTGGTCACTTATGTCCTCCTTTGCATGGTCATGCTCACAAACCATGTAAATTCAGGGGCAGAGGAGGCATGGGAAAATAGAGCTACCCCACATGCTTACACTTATGACAATGCTGTGACTTTAAGGAGTAATTGATTGCTAATACACAGAATGTTTTGCAGATAGTGCAATACGTCAGAGGACTCTCAGATGCCTGTTGTGCTCATGCGTTTTCTACGCCTGATTAAATTTATGGATTATGATGAATCAGGCTTGATTGCACTTGCCATAAAAAATATTAAAAAAATAACCAATTGAAGCTAACTCAGCAGCTAGAGCTAGTTTGGTTACGCGAGTTACTATCTAATCAGCTCTTGTCTATTGCTTGTTCTACCTCCCTTCTCCCACATACTTTGATCAAAATATTTTGGTCTAGCTTCTTTGCAACTGAACCGCAACTGGAAACACCAAATGCCTTAAAACACAACATTCACACGGAAAAACATGAGCATTCAAGTCAAACCTGCCAATAAAAAATTCTGAACTGTGAAACAAGGTGCAAATTAAGCTAGGGAGTTTCAAAGGCACTGATATTTGCTGCTAACAATGCCATTCTTATTTCTCTTCCCTCCCATCTTCTCTTCTACTTGAAACTGGCTAACAGGGTTGGGGAGGAAAGATCATGTGTACCCATATCATCCCCTATGCTTAATTTCCATATTCAAGGAGGGATATTACAGAGAGTGTGCCTCATTTAACTGCATCCTTAGCAATGAGTAGGAATAGAACTGATTTTTGGTGAACTGACAAGCAGCACCCATTTAAAATACTGCAAAGTTTGCTTACCACAACTGTACTTAAATAAGAATCCACAAGCTGTGAACTCTTTAAGCTAGGACAAATATTTAAGGGGGAAAACACTGTACCTGGGCTTATTTATCTAGAAGACCTAGAATCAAGTCCAGACTTGAAAGCAAATATTCTGTGCAGCGTTTAATTCTTGGTTCTGTACTTATACTCTCCTTAGATACCCTAGTATCTAGCTCAAGGTACACAGGACATTGAACGAGCAGAATAGGGACAGAGCAAGTTGCTGTATAGGGCCGACCTCACTATTCATCCCCACTGAGTTCACTGAGGGATCCCCTCCCCTTCACAAACTTCTCACAAAGCAAACAGGGCAAGTGGCATCTCCAGGGCCAAAGCTGTGTTGCCTGGCTCCTGCTCAGCTGAGCTGGGAGCTGAGCAGATCATCTGGGAACTCACTCTCAGGGCAAGCAGCAGAACAGGCTGCTGAGCAGGCTGGTCTGGATTTTCCACTATATTGCAGTCACATTCACTGCAAGAGGAACCCTCTGCAACAAACTCCCCTCTTTAAAAAGGGCTCCCGCTGGAAGGAGGAATCACAAGAACCTGCAAGCAATCTCAGAGTAGTGTCTGGCAAAAAAAGAAAGTAAGCAGGACATTATTTTTGGTTTGCTGCCATTGCCTTTTAATATAAATGCTTCCAATATCAAAGTTCTCTCAACTTTGTACCTAACATACAGAAAGAAAACAACTGGCTCAAAAAAAATTAAAAATCTTACTTTCAGATACAACATCCCTGCTGCCAAGTGCAGAATGCGGGTGCTGGAAATATTAAAACACAACCACACACTTCTAACCAGCTTTTTGTGCATTGGCTTACAGTGGACTTGGCAGAGCTGATGCCAGCTGGCAACCAAGGGCAGTTCACAAGCAAAACGAAGGATGAAAAAAATCAAACAGTAAATTAAAGGACCGAATTACCCACTTGGTAAAAGGGCCATGGCTATTTACATTCAATCCTGGCAATGCACAGCTGCAGGGATAGATAGAAAGCAACTGGGGTGGCTACAGTCCCCACTGGCTTTGTGTGGCATTTGTCTCAGAAAGAACACACATGGATTTTCAGTATGGACAAGACAGTGCCAGGGTAAGAGCACACCCCCAGTTCCTTATAGTAAAGGTCCCCTCAATGCTTCTACCTAACGCTTCAACTACTTACAGAAGAGATGAAGAACTCTACAACATTTTATGCAAATTTTGTAATAGAACTTCTTCCTGCCGCTGTGTAGTTGACTACTCTGCCCATTCACTGTATATAGCCAATGCATATTCATTTACATTGCCCCCCGCCCCTTAAATGAGGTCTCCTTTGCTCTGTTAAAGAGAGAGTCATCCTTCCCAGCCCCAGGCAGAGCTCAATAGGAGTAATAAGCATAGTCAGTAAGAAATAGTTACCAGAGAAGACTGTGAAGACAGACACTGCATGTTTATGAGATTATGCCACACTTTGCAAAAGGTTCTGTGCAGAACAATATGTAGGAGGGGCCTTAGAATAAGCTCACATACCAAAAAATAATATTAATTATAAAGACATAAAGGTCGATAGTAAATGGAAATACTTTGTTTTTACAGGCTGTCAGCAAGAAACTTTGTTGTTTTTACAAAAGATTTGTTCATAGGGCACTGCCAGCACATTCTATTCTAACAGTAGAAGCTATTGCTAACAAGTTATGGCTGAAACTAAGCTGTGCAATGAATATATGACAACACAAGGCAGCAGTAAACAAGCACTCAAGCAGAAGTGCTTCACAGGGTATTATACTCATTTTTGAAAGAAGTGAGACAGGTAAAAATTTCAAAGCACCAGCTCATAAAAGAGAAGGCAAAGGCCAAATTAGCAGCAACATTCAAAGGAATGGCTAGATATGTGCACTTCACAGAAGGGGAAAAAACAGGGCAAGTCAGTAGAGTTGAAAAAGAAAAAACACGGAGCAGCACAAAAGCAAGTATTCTGGCAAAATTCAACTATAAGACTGGAGAACACAGAAGCATTTTAAGAACTTACTGTACAATGGCAGAGGGGGATACGAAAATATGCACTTTTTTATCCTGTTACAGCAATCACTCCCTTCAGCCAATAGCAGGCCATCACATTTAAGAAACTCCTTCTACCTGACATCACAAAAGAATAAGGCTGCGTTTGCTGGCATTTTCTCAGAAAACATGCTTGCAATCTGACTGCTCTTTGGGAAAGCAGAATAGGCAGAAGGCCTAAAAGAAGGCATGAATATGGGAAGAGGGCTTGCAACACTACCAAACAGGATCGCCCTTTTAATACTTAGAGCAATGGAGGATTAGGAAAGAATGCTACCAAACACTTTTTTACCTTCAGAGGTCCTCAGAGTCCCTCCGGACACACAGCTCCAATGCTTCCAGGTCACTTCAGAGATAGAGTGTTGTTTGTGTCTTGTGGCAAGCGGAGAGCATGAAATGCAAACTTCCTATCTGCCCTAACTGTTCCATTCATTGCGTTTCTTCACTACCACCACTTCACAAAAAGTGATCTAGAAGCAGAAAGCAAACCATATAGTTTAAGATCACCATTTCACTTTGAAAGTGAAGAATCTGAAAGAATTTGAAAGAAAGGCATCTCCCAGCGTTACTCATTAAGGGAAAATGAGAAAAAAATGAAGGGGTGGGTGGGAAATGACTACAAGCGCCCCGAGGCCAGCAGCACCGTGCCCCACCGGGATCAATCCCGCACACGGGCAGACAGGCAGCGCCGGGCTAAATGACCGTACGAAGGGCTCTCGCCCCCTCCAAACGCCGAGCCCCACAGC